GCTTCCGGTCGCCGCGCCGCTGACAAAACTCGTTTACGTATCGGTCAATATTTAAATAAGCTCCTGTCAGTATTCATTGCGGCGTATGTGGAACCCTTATTGTCCCGGTATATTTATAGCTCCTGAAGAAACTTGGTATCGAAACGTTTTAGGCTGGTATGTCCGTATAGCATGTCCTTGTCTGGAGTTCTTTAGCAAATAAGAGCTTAAAAATTGCGTGCCTTGGCTGAATGGCCGCTCTTTGTTTACCATAGGGTCTGACATATAATGATAAAATTACAAGAAAAATTTTTTTTTTAATTTAAAGTTTGTTGACAGATTAATCAATTTATGCTAATCCCATCGCGTGGGTTTACATAACATTAAGGCAATTGCGTATTAAAACATTTTTACTGTGTAAAAATATAAGTCATAATAAAAGCATAATTAACCAGTTTCTCAGTTTTAATAAGTATCAAAGAGACGCGTAGATTGAAAAATGAATTTCAAGAATTTTTTTTTGCTTTTTAACAAAATTACGCTTATTATATATTAAATATTTATATAAAAGTTTAAAAAATTTGTTTTATCTTTATTCTTATTCTCATTGTTATAGACATCTAAATAATATTAAACACTATACATATATAGTTTTATTTTGTTATTGAATATAAAGCTTTGTGTAATTATTGCCGTTATCAATTTAAGGGTTAATGCAAGACATGGCGTCAAGAAACATGATGAAGCGCTATTCAAAGGCATTAATATTATACATTAGCTATGCGGTACTCTGAAGTATGATTACGCGGTGAACAGCCGAAGTCAAACCGCCGCGATTTACCGAAACAGCGCGACAGTGAAATTTCTCGTCCTTACGCGTCCTTACGCGAAATAGGAAAATTTCGAAGTAAAGGGCGCGTTCTATCAAAGGGACTGCTGGTTGAGTTTGCTCACAGTGTTTCGAAGAGATTGTTGCAGCGCACACAATTACATGCAACCCTACGTTGTATACATAGTCCTCCCGTCTAATGAAACCCAAGTTCTGATGGGTTATTATCGGGACACCTTGTATGGTGGCTTGTACCGTGCGCGGCTCTTTGATCTATCTTCATAGAAGGTACGTCAACTATCTGCGAAGGGTCGGCCAACCTCTTGTCCTACTCTTGTCTGAATCTTCAAAATGGATTATCGGATCCTGCGTGGAATTGCTTAAGGTGGCTATATAACTTATTTGTAATCTTAGGCGGATTTATTCGCAACCACCTGTAGGATCGTCATCTTGGACCCCTCGAATCGCTATTCTTTTTACGAGCTACATTTTTTGGTGCGGGTATTTTGCAGAGCTTCACGGCAATATTTCTCTACGTGATCTGATAAAACTGTTACAATTTTTTTACGAAGAAAAATATTAATAGAGATTTTAGAAAAATTTATTCCCGGAAGTATCATCTCTATGTGATATAAGAAAGTATTCAAGAGCAAAGATATTTTTATGATGATATATATATATATATACCTGTAACATAGAAATTTGCGTAAAACAGCATTTCTTGTCACATTTTTTAAATTCTCTTAAAAAATAAAACGGTTATATATAATATCTTTATCTTCTTTAATTTTCATTAAAATGTTCTTTTTTTTCTGGAAGTATTATATTAAAAAGATCAACTCAATAAAAGAAGCATATTTAATTTCTTTATCCTCTTTAATTTTCATCAGGATATTCTTATACTTTTGTACTGAATACATATCTATCTATATTAACATTAAATTCTGCGCAAAAATTTGTGAAGATGTAAAAATTACTTTTCTAAATTCGGTTTTGTTGCGGGTCGAAATGTTAGAATATTTTAAAGTATTCTCCTCTATTTCTACACGATTTGTATTTGAACGTAGTATCCATATTATGTGAAATTCTGGTTTAAGGAAGGATAGAGGGAGGACGAAGGAAGAGGGGGAGGAGAGAGAGAGAGAGAGAGAGAGAGAGAGAGAGAGAGAGAGAATATCACTAACTTTTGGCCGCTATAGACGATACTTTGCTTTCCGTCAATTAGAATTCCGCCAAGTCAGAGTATATGTACGGAGATGCGGTTCTGAACTTAATTATTTAGAGAGTTACATCGGTCTCTCGGGAGATTCGCGGTTCTCCTGCGTTATCCGCAGGTCAGATCGTTGCGAATTTAAGGGAGAATTCTACAAGACCCGCTTGAATATTGCATGTCGCGGGAAAACGGCCGGCCTCACATATATGTCTAACAAAGGTACAAGGTCGCAATAGAGAGAAACGTCGCCTCGTCGGCTGATTTGTCCGCTGTAATGAAGGTCGAGTTTCGCAGAAGGATTTAAAAAGCGCGCCGGGCTAAAGAAATGCTTTTCATGCCTCATAATCAGCTGGCTGCTTTGAAAACTGCACTGAGAATGCTTTCATGAGGCTCATATAACGGTATCTGTAAGGGAATTGCATATTACTCGATGAACTCGCACAAAGATAGAGGTGCATATGATATTGTTTATCACAAACAAGAATTCAAAAAGATAAAGGAAGGAAAGAGAAAAAAGCCTAATATAAATCAATTACAGATAATGACGTATTTATAACATATTTAAAAAATTATAAAAATATAAAATTTTTTATTTTAAGAGCATTTACTGTCTTTTCAGACTTTTTTATGTTTAAAACATACAAATTTAACATAACAATTAATAATGTGAATTATTAATAAATTTTTAAAAGATTGATGAAAAAATGTTATGAAATCAATTACATAATATTTCAGCTTTTTATTAATCTATTCAATACGGTTCAATATGTTTTTAATACTCTTTTTAATTTACATAAACATAAGCAATAAAGTATTAATATCAAATATATAAATACAGCTTCAATAATAGTACAAAATATGTAACAGAATACTTAAAATATTCTATAATTTATATCTTGATAAAAATACTCATTACACTTTATTAATATATATTAATATCATAAATATATTAATTATTAATCTTAATATAATAATCATATTAATAATCTTTATACTGCAATTTATAAGACGTCGCATCAAAGCAGCTGTATAAATTATTCTCTTCGTAAATTAATTGGCATTAAATCTCGTT